AAACTGTTGAAAAATATTTATTCAAATTATTGCTCATTTCTCCGTCGTTATCAGTGAGCTCGCCGAAGTCTGACCGTATTGGTCTAATCTTTTCTCGTGTTTTAGTTTGATACATTTGGTAGAATCCTTTGGGGTTTGTCTTCGCCTCCCTTGCTATCCTTACCTCATTATTCCTCTTTGCTTTCCTTATCTCGGTTTTAACCCTACTCGCCAATACCCTATAATAGTCCCGGAGGTGAATTTCGCCACGATTTATCCTTCTACCTATAGCCTTCCTTTGGCCAATGATGTTCTTTAAATAATTATTTATCCATTTAGGGTCATTGTTGTCTGATCTGAGTTTTTTGTATGGTATGTTCTGCCTTTGTGCATTAAGTAACTCACTATTTAAATTGTCGTGGAACTCGGCAATCTCAGATCTCGTTATCAGGTCGGTGTCATCTGTCAGGTTCACAGCCAAGCGCGACACCCCCTCTCTCAGCTGCCTCTTTAAACTGTCAAAGTTTGCCCTTCTGAAATCTGGTACTTTAGTGGAATTTTCCTTACGTCTGCCCTGAAAATCTAACTGGAATCGAATTTCTTTGTGATCGCTGTTTGCAAGTTCGTTCCCTACCTCGACATTGCTAATTAGGTTTTCTCTGTTCGACAGAACTAAGTCCAGTATATTATTACCCCGTGTGGGTTCGGTTATATGTTGACTTAGGAAACAGTCCTGGATCGTCTCGAGAAAATCCTCTGATTCTGAGTTACCCGTAAGGTCAGTCCAATCTATTTGGCCAAGGTTAAAGTCGCCTACTATACAGACTTTGTTGTGTATGGAAGCCCTGCGCATTTCATCCCAGATAAGTCGCTCATTGACGCTATCAAGATTGGGGGGTCTATATATTACTCCTGTGATTAATTTTTCCCGACCTTCGCTTAATTCTATCCAAATTGTTTCTGTATTCCTCTCAGTTTTTATTTCCTTATTTATTTCACACTTCAGATTATCCCTAACATAGATTGCTACTCCGCCTCCTTTCCTGGTCTGCCTATCGGTATGGAACAGTTTGTAACCCGCAATTTGGTATTCGACTGGTAACTCACGTTGGGTAATAGGAATGGGTTGGGTAATAGGAATGAGAGAAGAGAAATATTAATTGACTCTTGTAAGGAAGACAATATGATAATTGCAAATGCATGGTTTGAACAACACCCTAGGCATGTCTCTACACGGATCACACCCCAGGACAATGCAAATAGTTTACATTTAAATTAAAAAAATATTCAGCAATTCAGTAATCAGAACCAAGACTTATTTAGGGACAGATTGTGGGTCAGGTCACGTCCCAGTAATGAGTTTAGAGAGGGTAAAATTCAGAAAATAAAAAGAAAAACAGTGGAAAAATTAAATGGGATTTAGGAAAGCTTAAAAAAGGGGCAGAGATAGAATGTGAAATTGAAATCGAAACCAAATTTTCATTAGTGCTTGAGGGTGACTTTGGTGAACAAGAACCAGGACAACAATGGAATAATTACAAAGAAATAATGTTAAGGGTGGGGAAAGATCTTATAGGACATAGGAGGAACGAGGCTAAAGGTGAGTGGATCACAAAGAAAATTTACAGCCAAATTGTTAGACGAAGAAAGATGATAAGAGGAAATGAGACTCATAAAGAACTTAACAAATAAATTAAAAAGGAATGTTGACTGGCCAATGGAGATTTACTAAATGGGAAATGGAAGGAGATAGATGATGGAAAAAGATATAGCTGTGGGGAAATCTACAGAATTATTAAGTAGTAAATCAGAAAAAAAATTAAGTAAATGGGGTGGAACTATTGAAAGAAAAGACAATAAGATCCTATTTGAGACAAAAACTAAAAGAAAGATGGGCAGAGTATGTAGAAGAACTTAACAATGCTAAAGGATAGAGTAGCGGTAAGAAACGAAGAAAATTAAGATCAAACTACCAATTTTGGAAATAGAAGTTAAGGCAGCCGTGAGCAAAAAAACAAACAAACAACAAAAACAATAATAAATAAAAATAAAAATAAAGCTTGTAGGGTTGATTAGCTATCAGCAGAATTTACAAAACAAATAGGCACGAATGAGATCAAATGTTTGACTAAGATATATAATTCAATGTACTTCAAAGGCGACCTTCCCAGTGAATTGAAAACAAAATCGTTATTTGTATTATTGCCGAGAAAGCCAGAAGTCTTAGAGTGCACCCAGTTTAGAACAATTAGTTCAATAAGTCCTACCTGCAAAGTATAATAATATTAGGATAGACAGTGCGCTATATGAAAATAGAAATGGGTTTAGAAAGGAATAAAGGACTAGAAAAGCTTTATTAAGTTTGATAAATTTGAGGTATAGGGCTTCAGATCCAAAGAAATTTTACTAGCCCGTCTCGTTCAGACGAAAAGCATCGTTTCCGCCTGACTGGCTAAGTATAGAGAGGGACTCACCAGAGTAGAGAATGACTCACCAGGGTAGAGAGTGACTCACCAGGATAGAGTGACTCATCAGGGTGCAGAGGGACTCACCAGGATAGAGAGTGACTCACCACGGTAGAGAATGACTCATCAGGGTAGAGAATGACTCACCAGGATAAAGAGTGACTCACCAGGGTACAGAGGGACTCACCAGAGTAGAGAATGACTCACAAGGGTAGAGAGGGACTCACCAGGATAGAGAGTGATTCACCAGGATACAGAGGGACTAACCAGAGTAGAGAATGACTCACCAGGGCAGAGAGGGACTCACCAGGATAGAGAGTGACTCACCACGGTAGAGAATGACTCATCAGGGTAGAGAATGACTCACCTGGGTAAAGAGGGACTCACCAGGGTAGAGAGGGACTCACCAGGGTAGAGAGGGACTCACCAGGGTAGAGAATGACTCATCAGGGTAGAGAATGACTCACCTGGGCAGAGAGGGACTCACCAGGGTAGAGATGGACTCACCAAGGAAGAGAATGACTCACCAGGGAAGAGAGAGACTCACTAGGGTAGTGAGTGACTCACCAGGGTAGAGAGGGACTCACCTGGGTAGAGAAGGACTCACCAGGGAAGAGAGTGACTCACTAGGGTAGAGAGAGACTCACCAGGGAAGAGAGGGACTCACCAGGTGAGAGGGACTCACCAGGGTAGAGAAGGACTCACCAGGGTAGAGAGGGACTCACCAAGGTAGAGAATGACTCACCTGGGTAGAGAAGGACTCACCAGGGTAGAGAGGGACTCATCAAGGTAGAGAATGACTCACCAGGAAGAAGTGACTCACTAGGGTAGAGAGAGACTCACCAGGGTAGAGAGGGACTCACCAGGGTAGAGAGGGACTCTCCAGGGTAGAGAGGGACTCATCACCAGGGTAGAGAAGGACCCACCAGGGTAGAGAAGGACTCACCAGGGTAGAGAAGGACTCACCAGGGTGACTCACCAGGTAGAGAAGGACTCACCAGGGTAGAGAGGGACTCACCAGGGTAGAGAGGGACTCACCAGGGTAGAGAAGGACTCACCAGGGTAGGAATGACTCACCAGGGAAGAGAGGACTACCAGGGTAGAGAGGACTCACCAGGGTAGAGAGGGACCTCACCAGGACTCACTACTCACCAGGTAGAGAGGGAGAATGACTCACCAGGGAAGAGAGTGAGAGAAGGACTCACTAGCGTAGAGAGGGACTCACCAGGGTAGAGAGGGACTCACCAAGGTAGGGTAGAGAAGGACTCACCAGGGTAGAGAGGGACTCACCAGGGTAGAGAAGGACTCACCAGGGTAGAGAGGGACTCACCAGGGTAGAGAATGACTCACCAGGGAAGAGAGTGACTCACTAGGGTAGAGAGGGACTCACCAGGGTAGAGAAGGACTCACCAAGGTAGAGAATGACTCACCAGGGAAGAGAGTGACTCACTAGCGTAGAGAGGGACTCACCAGGGTAGAGAGGGACTCACCAAGGTAGAGAATGACTCACCAGGGAAGAGAGTGACTCACTAGGGTAGAGAGGGACTCACCAGGGTAGAGAAGGACTCACCAAGGTAGAGAATGACTCACCAGGGTAGAGAGGATCACCAGGGTAGAGAGGGACTCACCTGGGTAGAGAAGGACCTCACCAGGGTAAGGACTCACCAAGGTAGAGAAGGACTCACCAGGCAGAGAGGGACTCCTACCAGGTGAGAATGACTCCCACCAGGAAGAGAGTGACTAATTAGGGTAGAGATACTCCACCAGGGTAGAGAAGGACTCACCAGGGTAGAGAATGACCACCAGGGTAGAGAGAGGGACTCACCAGGTAGAGAGGGACTCACCAGGGTAGAGAGGGACTCACCAGGGTACAGAGGGACTCATCAGGGTAGAGAATGACTCACCAGTAGAGAGGGACTCACCAGGGTAGAGAAGGACTCACCAGGGTACAGAAGGACTCACCAAGCAGAGAAGAACCTACCAGGGTAGAGAGGGACCCATCAGGGTAGAGAATGACCCACCAGGGTAGAGAGGGACTCCACCAGGCAGTGAGGGACTCACCTAGGTAGAGAGGACTCACCAGGGTAGAGAGGGACCTGCACTAGGGTAGAGAGGGACTCACCAGGTAGAGAGGGACTCACCTGGGTAGAGAGGCACTCACCTGGGTAGAGAATGACTACCAGTGTAGAGAGGACTCACCTGGGTGAAAGAGGGACTCACCAGGGTAGAGAGGACCACCTGCAGAGAGGTACTCACCTGGGTAGAGAATGACTCATCATGGTAGAAAATGACTCATCAGGGTAGAGAATGACTCATCAGGGTAGAGATTGACTCATCAGGGTAGAGAGGGACTCACCAAAGTAGAGAAAGACTCATTAGGGTAGAGAATGACTCATCAGGGTAGAGAGGGACTCACCAGGGTAGAGAATGACTCATCAGGGTAGAGAATGACTCACCAGGGTAGAGAGGGACTCACCAGGGTAGAGGGGGACTCACCTAGGTAGAGAGGGACTCACCAGGGTAGAGAGGGACTCACCTGGGTAGAGAGGGACTCACCAGGTTGTAATGTGACTGGGCAAAGGTGAAGTGTGGGTACTGTAACATCGTCAACACTGCTATCACCGTCCCCTGTATCCCGATGATGCGGTTGAAGTGCTCCGCTGGAAACCTGAATGAGGAAAGTCAACCTTTGTATTAATTCTGCTTCTGTTGATGATAAATTTGGCCGAGTACAAAGATGAAAATCTTCCTTGTATGGTAATATTAACAACAAAAATATTTTTTTCGTGTAGTGTCCTATTATGTGAGGATTGGCGACCATAGCTGAAGTTTTCATACTGTTTTTACCAATCCTTCCGGAGGTTGCATATCTTTGGAGGGTCAAGTTTTATACATCTTAGTCTCTGCCTTTCCCTTTCCTTCCTACCCTCAACTTTGGCCATTAATATTCTACCATCACCCTAATACTTCCTCATTGCTCTCACTAGTCTTAGTACACCTTCACTGCCTTTCTTTCTGGCATAACTGACTTTTAGCATTCTCCTTTATTACCACATATTGAATACCTCCAATCTTCTTCTGGAGTCTGCTGAAAGTGTTCACCCTTTGACCCATACAGCTACGACTGCTTCTACTGCTGTCACCGGAACTGAATATGACGATCATCCAGCGATGACACAATGATACGAGTCATTATTGATGTCACCTTCGGTGGCGAGCTCTGAGGTGGCTTGAGATGCCAATATGGTCGTTCGCGGGTGTTGTGTGTGGCAGGCTACATCTAGTGCGGAGCGGCGGCGGCAGCGTCTTTCCAGCGCTGGCACTTGTCCGCTTCTGTACTCAGTCGAGCTTACTAGAAAGAATTGATCATTCTCGTGTAGTGCTCCTCCAAATATTATGGTGTTGAGTAATCGTCCCCAAGGTGAGACGTTACGTCTACTATCTCTTAGGTGACCGTAGATTATTTGCTTTGGCATTCTACAGTCGTCCATACAGGTCGCGGTGCTGGTATCTATGGTTGGTAAAATCTCACTGAACTAAATGATATCAGTGATTAAAAGAAATCATTATTTATAGTACTGCCGAAAAACATCTGAGCCAACGTAAGGGAATGTTTAATATATCTGGTGTAAATTTTTAATGAATATGATATAACACAATATAAATTAAGAAATATTAATTGCTTTAACTTTAGTGAGGGCAGAAGAAAAAAAGAAGGTTATGTTGGTTTGAGAACTTTAAATATAAGAGCTTTAGAGGTTCAGAGAATGTTGTGTATGTTTTTGTGGATTTTAAAATAAATGATAAAGTAAAATATTAAACAAAGATGTCTTGGAAAGGGTAGAATTTAGTAAGATGGAGATGTTAGTATTCTAAAAAAAGAATCTTCATTTGCATCATGAAGGATCGAAGGCAGTGTGGCGGTAATCTACCAAAAGATCTTATATGGACTACTGTATAGCTGCATTGTTTTAACAGCTCTAATATTAGCGCCATAGCACGAGTCTTATCCGATTTAGTTCTAGGGTGTTTTATATATATATATATATATATATATATATATATATATATATATATATATATATATATATATATATATATATATATATATATATATAGTTAACGCTATGCACAATTGTGAGCGCCGGCCACATGTCAAGTGAAGAAACTGTTTACAACTCAGAATAGCTTACTAAGCGAGATAGAGCTGGTAGCAGCTGTGTGACTGCCTGGGGGCATATCGCCTACTACTGTAGAGGCAACATCTTGATTCTCGTCAGCCAACATCACCCTGCAGGACATTATATTTGTTCTCGTTGGTCTAACCCTAGACCCCAAAACGTGTGTGTGATTGTGAACTGTTGAATCCTCTGCGAACTCTAAATAACTTTAATACGTGATTGTATTATTCAAACTGTGTGTCCTGATATACCAGCAGTTGTTATATGTGAATTGTACTCAACAGGTTTTGACCGAATTATACTCATCCCCATCGCGTCAACGACAAGGGTCTTATTGTCCTGCACAAACCAAAATTGCTCTCATGAGCGATTATATATATACTGTATATTTTGTGCTGTTAAAATGGGTTCGTTAGAATGAGAAAAATTATTAGAGCTTTTCTGAAAAATTGTGTTGAAAACCTATTCACATAATATTATTAAAACAGCGAATTAGCTAGTGAGTTATTCACGAAAATATTAGAGCATTAATGTGTCCCAGCATTATCTTGAGGCTTGAGAAATTGGTATGTCACAGCAACCCATTATGACAGTGAAACCTGGCGTCCAGCTGACCACACACAGGGTACAGTACAGTATGCGGTCTAGGTAGGCCTATACAACAATATTTTTTCTTCTAAAATCGTCTTTCAGCACAAATTGTTGACCATTGATTTTTAGATGAAATTATTCTATAAATCAGGTTAAAAATAGATGATCAAATTAAATTTAATTAAACTCATGGAAGCCACACATCTACATGGCTAAAACCGCCATCCGAAAGCTGGGAATGATGTACTGTACAGATGTTGTAGCTACTACTCCTGAGCAGTTGCTTCAGGTTTATAAGAGATTCATTCATCCTAACTGAGTACTGCTATCAATATCTGGGGTGGCTCTTCTTCTGTCCAACTGTTAGATAGTGTGGAATCAAAGGTTCGTCTTATTAACCTCTCCTCCTTTAGTTGATAATCTCTCTTCTCTTGTTCTTCACCACAATGTTGCTTCACTCTCTTTACAGGTACTTTAACGAGTAATGTTCGGTGGATTTGGAATCTTGTGTACAGCCGGCAAGGCACTGGGCCCGTAACACTCGTCTTGCCTGCGGTGCCCACCGTTTCTGTGTGGATGTATGTGGATATCGGTCACACAGAATAACCCGTTATAGTACATCCTTCTTCCTCACACAGCCAAACTGTGGAATGTTCTGCATTCTTCTCTGTTTTCATCTCTTACACTCTGTCTCACTTCAAAAGCTGGTTTTCGGCATCTTCATGGTATAGATTAACATAGTGTACTCTTTTTCTCTTCTATTTTTTTTTTTTAATCTTATTTTTCGCCTGGCCCCGTTATGGGTCGATGACCTGTACCTGGGTGGGCTACACCCCCCTAAAAAAAATATATATCGTAAGAATAGAGTAAAATAACTGATAATGTATGTTCCTGGCTACAATTCTTCATTTCATAGGCCTATGCACGAGTGTGTATATACAACAATAGGAAAACTTGTAAATAAACCCGAATTAATATTTCTTTGTCTTTAAGAAAATTTTTAAATGAATTTCATACCCTAGAGCCACTAATTACCAAAACGAGAAATTGATTAGATGATCTTAGTGGGTGCGGTTGCCCAGTCAGTTTTTTTTTTCTGGCAGGCTATGTTAGGGCATATTTTCAGCCCCTTCCCCATGTGGGTGAGCAGAGTGGCTCGAAAGGGCTGCTCAGTCGAACAGACAGGACCAGATTGTACTGTTGCCTAGATCCCAGTGCATAAACGACCATCTTATCTGTGCTGCTCATTGCAGAGTTGTGACTAGAGACCCCGGCAGCCATCTCTGCCTGTCTCCGTCACTATTCGTCAGTTGCCATAGGACTTTTGGAGGTTTAGGGTCCCGATGATGATGGAAGGTAGGATGAGTTGGATGATGGCTGTGCATAAGGTTGATTTATGTGGTAAGGCAGAGCGCAGGCTACAACCACACATCTTGGTTCTCCCCTTTCCTGATCCAGCGGTGCAGGAAGCTGCAACAATTGGGGAGGAGAGTTGCAATGGACTGCTGATAGCCCAGTTTGTCTTCACCTGCCGGTATAGTCGTTGGGTTTCCATGTTGGTCACCTCTTCCACCTATTCCGCCATTGGGGTTTTCCTGGAGCTTTGTAAGTATGCCTTCCTAATGCGGGGCTCCACTGCAGATTTTTCGTTTGGGGTTTACTTCTGTAGCCTTATACTTATCAAGATTAATTTGTAAGGTAGTGGGGCAGTGGTAGGTAAGGTGTGTACACATGCCGGTGGGCCTATGCGCCATACCTCTGGGCCTATGTGCCCTACCTCTGGGGCCCACTGCTGCTCCGAGATTCCCTGTTGGTCTAGCTCGGCCATAAGGCACCCAGTTACTGTGTGTTGCCACGAAGTGGCACAGCAGGAGTCTTGATGGTGAAGAGGCTGTGTACTGGCAGGGAAGACTAACGTAAGTCTGCTTCCATGTTCACCACTAGATTAGCCAGAAATGATTACTGAAAGCAAGAGGAAGCAAGCAGTGCTTGCACCTTAACATCAACATAATGTTGCACATTAGATGTGTTACACCCTGTGTACACACACACACACACACACACACACACACACACACACACACACACACACAGAGTACCTGGCTCTGACGAAAGGAATTGCGACAGCTTGACAAGACGGTCGGTTGATGATGAGACAGATGAGACCAACATAGACGGCGGCGGATGAAGGGAAGAGGAGGGTGCTCGTTGTAGGTGATGGTGGTGCTCACTATGAACATGGGCACGATCATCGCCTGCACGACGCTACCTGAGCCATCACCCACTCTACCTGGCCAGGAACAAAGTTGATTAAGCTTTAGGAGTCATTATATGGGTTCAAAGATGGAGCGATAGTGAGTTTTGTGTGTGTGTGTGTGTGTAGTATAACAGCACCATTTGTATGATATAAATATTCACCCAAATGTATAATACTTAAATGTATAATACCCAATTATTCACTAAGTTATTCAACCATGACTCAGTAGTTGTCTGTCATACATGCAGAGGTCTGTAATTTCATCAGAGGTTGAGCCACAGGTCAAGCAAATACCTCGCCCGCTCCTCCTTGCGTCTCAAAGTCGTGGCATGACCACATAAGGGGACAGACGTGCCCATAAGTGCTCTTGACTTCCCGATCGTCCCACTAAGGTCCCTTCAGCCGGCAAGCTTTCCATCATGGGAGGGTCGACATAAACGTCCCAGAAGAGGCTCTCTCATGGACGCAGATTCTGGTACGGATGCCATCGCTCGAGGATCCTGATTATACTAGTTTAGCATTTTGCATAAATGCTAAAGATGTAATGAGAAATAACTATGTCACTAATGACATGGATGGGCCCTTTCATACGTCCGAAGCCTCATCAAACCGGTAGTCGGGCAGCTAAAGCTATCTATG